CGGGGGGTGTGGGGGCGGGCAGGCGGGACTGCCAGGGTGCCCACGAGCAGGGTAGACCCCATCACTCTGATACCGCGTCCCCATCGATGGAGACCCTGCAGAGCTGTCAGTGTGGCAGGGGAACGGGCACGCTGCCCGCTGAGATGTAGGGGCATGGTGGAAGGGCAAAGAGCCTCCCTCAGAGCCCCCTATGGAGGATCTCACTCCATAATGTTCTTACAACTCCCTATAGAGCATCTGCCCCCTAAATCTCTCCGAGCCTCCTTCAGGGACTCTCCCTGTTGTTCCCCTCAGAGCTACATAAAGAGGGACCCTCCCATAACCCTTATAGAGGGAGTCACCCTAAAACCCCCATCAGATACCTCTGTAGAAGGACTCCCCCATAACCTTTAGATAGGAGCGCACCCTATAACTTCCTTCAGTGCCTCCTTTGGAGAGTCTCTTATAAACCCCCCTCAGAGCTCCAGAGAGGGTCTCTCTCCACAAATCCCCAGAGATACCCCCCACCCGCAGATCCCCCCAGCACCCCCGACTGCTTAAACGCCCTCAGTACTTCCCCCTGAGAGACCCGACCCGAAATACAGACCCTGACCCTCACCCTACGAGAGCCCGTCCCCAGCTGCCCCAGCCCCTGAAGCGCCCCTGCCCTCCCTCTGGGGCTGACCCGCCATCATTAACCTGCCCTTCGCCTTTCCGGCTTTACGGGGCCATCCCGATTTACGGCCAGAGCCCTCAACAGGCAGCAAGAATTACAGCCGCTGCAACTCTGCGGGAAGGGGCCGGCGGCACGACGTGGTCCCGGGCCGTCACCCACCGTGCCGGGGCAGGGGGACGTAGGACCCCCCACACCCTTAGGGGTGCCCAGCACCCCTGGGCTCTGCGAGACCAGCACGGCCCAGCACCATCCCCATGGCCACTGGCTCCCGATACATCCCCTTCCCCAATCTCCAAATATCCCCCCCCAAAATAGCCCGGCGGCCCCTCGCTTCAACGGGCCGGACGCGGCCAGGCCGCAGCGCGGCG